TTCATCTAGTGAAAGACATCTTTGTCTTTTGCATGAAATCAACCAAGGTGAAAAGTGTTGTAATTTTTGTTTTTTTGGATGAAATAACTTGAAATTTGGAGAGATTTTAACACAAAACTGAAAATATTGTACGGGAAATACATCATGAGGCAGATTTAGATTTAATAGGGTTTAGGGTATAGAGGGTTTACGGTTTAGAGGGTTAAGGGTTTAGAGTTTTAGGGTTTAGGGTTTAGTGTTTATGGTTTAGGGTTAGGGTTTAGAGTTTTAGGGTTTAGGGTTAGGGTTTAGGGTTTAGCGTTTAGGGTTAACAATTAAGTGTTTAGGGATTAGGGTTTAGAGTTTAGGGATTAGGGTTTACATATTTTTAGGGATTAGGGTTTAGGGCTTAAGGGATTAGGGTTTATGGTTTATATAGTTTTACGGTTTAGGGATTAGGGTTTATATAGTTGTAGGATTTAGGGTTTAGGGTTTACATGATTTAGGGTTTATGTATTAGGGTTTAGGGTTTATGGTTTATATAGTCTTACAGTTTAGGGTTTAGGGTTTATATAGTTTTAGGATTTAGGGTTTAGGGTTTAGGGTTTGTTTGTTCGATCCATTCTTCATAAGAATTATTTGTCTTCGGACAACCTCGGTATTTTTCTTCGAACTATCTCGAGCTTTAACTTGTTTTTAAAAATGTTGATCGATTTGGTGTCGTTATAAATTTGTCGTTATAAAACCGGTCATGATGTTGTTCGAGTTCGAGTTCTGTTCATTTAGAGCCTTTTTGTTTAACATTGTTATCCAACCTTGTTCAAGAGTAGTTCACAAACGTATCAGATCAACTAGGGTTTTACTTGTAATTAGATTACTAATCTGACTTATCATCTAGGGTGTCAAAAAATTGAGTTGTTCATATAACAACTCAATTTTTCAGTACCCTAGATTACTTGTAATTATGTTAATTTTGATTCAAACTGAAATTTTTAATAGTGAATTTAATTATTAGCTTGTTCGATTTGATATAGTATAGATATTTGTTGTCTAGACAACCAAGTTTAAATATTGTAAAATACTAGTGTAAAATACTAGTTTACATCAGTAGACTAGTTTGAAGTTTGAATTTGCTTAAAGTTGAAGCTAATATTAGACACTAGGGTAATAATAGGGTTGAATTGGGTAAGAATAGGGTATTATTCGGTCAAGATGTTGTGAGCTTCAGCTAGACAAGCAAAATTGCCTTATTTTGTTACTAGTTACTTCTTCGGTTGCACTTAGGGTAAGAGTAGGATTTGATATTAGGCTTCAGCTGGACGAAATTGGTTAAGTTTGTGCCTTGTCAAGTTATTAGGGAAAAGAGGTTGGATTAGGTTCCTTAAATTGTGAATAGTCACATCTGTAGTGGAAAAAGGTTGGACAAGGAACTACTCCCTAATTTGTGGGTTGCACTACTTCCCAACGTAAACATCTTCCCGCCCAAATTTTGGTTTTTATTTCCTTAATTTTTTTTTACATGTATTTAATTTTTTGAGGATTATCCAATTTGTTTGTCAATTGCAAGACATATAACCAACTTTTTTAAAAAATAATTTTAAATTTGTAACTTTTAAGAGGTTTATGTAACTCGAAAGTCCTTTTGATATTTCGTTCTCTTATTTTTTTTATTTTTTTTTATTTTTTTTTTTGCAATAGCTTATTAGTTGACTAACTATTATTTGTTGTACACTTGCAAGATAAATATCATTCAAAAATTCCTAAGATAAATAGCTAGCCTACGATAAATAACCTAACCCAAATTTCATCTTTTATCTCGTGCCCTTTAAATTTTTTTAACAATTGTAAGTATAATTTAAAAGTCCATTTGTTATATCGTGGCTATAAGTTGTTTTCAATTTTAATGTAAATCGGAATTCGGCTCCCTTTTTGTAATATCGTGGATTTTATGATATATTTTAGTTGGACAATTTGTTCATATGTTCACTATGTGTATGGTTCTTCTTAATTTGTTCCTTAACATTTATAAGTCCAATTTTTAAAATTGGTCTATCACTGTCACTATTTTGTTTATATGACTTTGATTTAGCCTATGAAGTTGTGGATTAATTTCTTTCGTAGTGCATTGCAAATTAGGTAATGGTAATATTGTTTTTGGATGTCATGAATTGGATGCTTTGCTAGCAATGTATGCTTTCTATATTTTGTGTTATTAGTGGTGAAATACCATTTTGGAGATGTTTAACTTATGTAATTTCTCTAGGATTTCTTTGCTTAATTATTAGTTGGTAAACTTGTGAATTTATGTTTTGTTTCAACAACTTACTAGACAACTATTTGGTGAGTTGTTGGAAAAATTATAGTTGATTTTACTGCTTATATTTTGATTGTTGGAAGTAATAATGAATATAAATATTGCTATTTTAAAAAAAATTTAAAATAATATTGAGTATTATATTTATCATCAAAACTATTCTTTCAAATAACGAATTATTATAGCATTTTTAATGATATTATCAGCCCAAAAAATTACAACATATTTTGATTGGGATTTTGGGATCGTATCCAAATATCCGATTTATATGCATTAGATAACAGAAAAGTAAAAGATTGCATTAGATAACTGAAAAGCATATCATATTGCATTTGAAAACATAAAAGCAATTTCGGATTAGGACAGACAAGAATGCCCAAGTCCTAATACAAAATATAGGTTCTACACTTTTAAAAAAAAGCAACAGTTCGACAAAAGGAAGCCGAAAACCGGGTAAAATACATGAAAACCAAGTACACAAAACACCTAAACTAGCACTAGGTCTACAACAAATATCGGAGGATTTCATGTCCTAAACGTTATGAAAGCACCTTCGTTCTCTTGAACATTGTAGTGATCGAGACACTGCCTCAGCTTTCTTATAAGGGACTCAGTGATCACACCTTTTTTTCTTTCAATGTATAATTCCACATCGAACTCAGTGTCAAAGTTTTGGAGCACAACAACATAATTTGTCTCATGGTAATGAACTAGCCAATGCCTTGCAAAATCGATTGAGACATTTTGCATAAAAAAAGTAGAATAAGAAAACCGTGATTTCACTCAATTAGCTCATGCCATGTGAACAAGTAAACTTATCAAGGTCTTATAATCAAGATACTTACAATAGCTCCTTTACGAAGATAGGATGCAGTAAAAATAAATCGGAAATTTGGTGAAGGGAAACCTTGCGCAAGATCATCAATCCATTCATTAGTCTCGATCATTTTCGGAGAAGACCTCAGATTAGCCGGTATACGCCCAGTACGTCTTTTACTAGAACTCCCAACATCTTTACCTTTTCCTTTTCCTTTGCTTACACTTCCCCTTGAAATCTGGACTACAAATGCATTGTGCCCTGAGTAAGTGAAATACAAATTGTCCCCAGAATTTAAGCAATTGTCCTTCACAAACTCAGGCCAACCAACTTCTAATATAGTTTTCCAGCCATTATTTACATTCTCGTCATCTTCTTCATGCACCATAGTTATTTTCCACTCTTTAACACTACCATGCAACAATATGCGTACACCCAAAGAACCATTGTCTAAAACCTCTCTGAACACACCAGGAATGGGCTGAGTATACAGACACATTCGAATTAAAATCAGTACAGATGATAATTAGAATAGCACCAAACTAGAGTGTAATAAAAAATAAGACTACAAACTAAAACGAAATAAGATGAAAACTCAGGTTATTTCATACCAGGCTTCCTTGATACTTAATTCATGATAATTATATACTCAAAACTTAATATAAACACTTCCTTGATACTTGATACTTGATACATGATACATATATGTTCATTAGAACAACACCCAAAAAGATAATCATTCAAGGACAATTAAGTGTTGCAATTGTAACAACTTATAATAAAAATTCACCCAACTTAAAATCTTTGATGCTCAAAAGCATACTACTCAACAGTTATAAAATATAAGAAATTCAACGTTAACACAATTAGAATAGCACAATCCAACTTAATTGTTGCAACACTAATTAAAATAAATGAAAATTCTGACTATTTAAATCCTTACCACGCTACGTTGATGTTCAGTAGCATACTCAACAGTAAAGGAGGCAGTGAGTGAAGCCATAGAAGCCTTTATGCAAATGGAAAATCAAAGACTTAGCCCTTGGCTATTATATAAAAATTCTTCAGAAAAGGTTATCACCGTACTAAAATACTTTAATATATCTTTGGCAGAAATCAATAAGTAAGATTCTTTTCCAAAAAACTACACATTCCCATCAAAAATTCAACATAGTAATAATTATTCAACATAGTAAGAATAAGAGGTCAAAGTAGATATGTTTTTTGTCATTCATATGTCCATTCACAATAAACTTCTATACATGCATAAGATATTCATGATATCTTAACATAATTTTGTATGTTATATTTGACAATAATTTATATCCTAGGAATTTGAATAAATATAATTTAATTGGAATTGAATAAATATAATTTAATTGGAATAAATAAATTGAATAAATATAAATTAATTGAAAAAAAAACAAATATTAATAGAATATTAAGACATATGCAAAAGTTATTTAATGACATTAAATAAATTATGTAATTTTTTATATGGGCCATTACAAAATTTTTATTTTACAAAATTTTATTAATTAGATTGTTAGTGAAAATGAGTCCTTTATTACTAATTGATTTAATTTTTATTTTTTCATTTATATTAATAATAACCCTGGCCATAAGCTATTTAATTACTAAAATTTGAAGTGACGTAAACTACATATTAGTCAAGAAGTACATTGACTTAATTGTTCAATAGTGTAAACGAGTAATTCAAGTATTATAAATTTTGTACATAATAAGTAAAGTACAACAACACTAATTTTTTCTGACCTAGTAAGTAGGGATAGCAACGGGTCATAATTGATAAGATTCCACTGTCAAGAATATGAGAAAGTTACTTGCATATTCCTTACCGATAATCAATTATTACACTCAAAATTTCAATGACACAAATCATGATAGGTAGAATAGATCAAGTAAAGACATTAGATCACACAGTATCTAAATCTGAAACGAGAACACCATTAACAACACAAAGTTTCTAAATCGAGTTCACAATTAACATAAGTTTATACATAAAGTACAACATTACCCTCAGGACAACATTCACCATAATAATAAACTCAGTCTAGTGTTTGGATCACACGTTTTAAGCCCACATATGTGACATCTCACAAATCCAGATTAATTAGAATAAATGGGAGTTCGTAGAATATTCCTCTGTCAGTGTCTGCAGAGGAAGTTCTTCACATGATACTTGAACTTCAGTCGAAACATTCCAAAACTCAGCATATGGGTTATGACCCTTTTTATGCTTCACCTGCAATGAAAGAATGTTAACAACATATAGAATGTTAACAACATATAGCAGCTTTGGCTTAAACAGCTTCCAGAATGTTACCGGTAACTTTGTTTTGATGTTGGAGCTACTTGGTTGGGGTTCAACTGACTGACCTGATTGTCACAGTCCTGCAAGCAAGTATAACATAAGAGAGTTAACATATCCAGAAGAACACATAAAATAAAGAAAAAATAAAAATTTCTAGTGTTACATGTAAGACCTTTCTTGTGTTAAGCTTGGTGGTATTGTAATCTAACTCAGCACGAGATTTGTTCCAAGATCCCTTTGGACGACCTCGAGGTTTTTTTTTTAATTATTGGATCTTTAACTCGATCATTGTTGGTTGTGGATCCTTTACTGATATTGGGGTTAGGTCTGGCACAACCGGTGTTCGGTGTCACTGCATGGGGTGATGCTTGGTGAGTAGATCTTGGTGTGATTGCTTGGGGAGTTGATTGGTGACTATGAGTTGATCTTGGTGTGAATGCTTGGGGAGTTGATTGGTGAGTAGGAGTTGAACTTGGTGTGGTGGCTGGTTTCGGTAATGCAGTATTCTCCATCAGTTTTGCGCGACTTGCTCTGACCTCTTCGCGTAGCTTCTTAACTGCTGCTCGGACGGTCTCTACTGTGTCATCATCTACTGCAAACGCTTCCTCGCACAAAGATTCAAGATCAGGTAGCAAGGTATTGTACCTTTTGCATTCCTCTATTTGACTTGGATCATGGTATGCAACTTTGAATCGGGTGTGCCTCCTAACCACATCTTTCCGCCATCGGGAAATTACGTACTTGGGGGGAATATCTTTGACCTTATTCTGATCCCACACTCTTATGACGTGCCTGCATAGAATCCCATCCTTCTCAAACTTACGGCAGTCACAACTACATTCTTTTGTAACTGGATTGAATGTCACTGAGTAAAACTTGTACCACTCAGTCACTACATCTTTATTGGTGCCACTTTTCCTGATCCAAACTCGATCTTCAATCAAGTACTGAATTGCAGTGGCACTTATAATGTCCTCCACCTTCGGAACAACATACAACATTCGAGCACATTCTCTTTGGACTTCCTGAAATTTTGCATTGGTGTAAATTTTTTGGAAAAATCTCTCCACTTTAAATACACTAACAAGACGCCTGATGTATTTGCGATCCCTATCATCAGCATCAATCTCATCATCCACACGCTTTTTCAGAGCCTGAGAATATTTTTCAGGAAATTCATAGAGTTTAGTGTGCCTATTAACAAATCCATCAAAGAACCTATTAATGATCTCAACCCTCTGCATCGTTTTCATCCCAGCCCAAAAGTACTCTTTCATATACGCAGGCACCCACATGTGCCTCTCTACAAACAACTCTTGGAGCCATTCATTTTCTTCCAAATCATACAACTTCATTGCTTCACACCACCTTTTTTTGGAATTCATCTATTGTGAAGCTGTCGTATATCACATTAGGATTCTTGAAATCGTTATACCTAGACATGTTTCTAAGGTCAGAATGTTTTCTATAACTCATCAGGACCTATACTAATGTGTATGTGTCAAACAGCTTATAATCCACAGCTTATAATGCACATGTAATTAACCGAGGAAAAACAAGTCACAACCTAATCCAAATCAGTTAAACATAATTTTATAAAGCAACACAACCTAATCCAAATCATCAAAATTCCATTAAGAATACAAGAGACATATAACTCATTAGCCTATCACAGAAATTACTTACTTGGCACACTTCCCAAGTTTCTTAGGAAATTTCCTCAGTATATGCCATATACACCATCGATGTTGGGTGTTGGGCATAACTTCGTCTAGTGGCTTCCTCATTGCAGCTGCTTGATCAGTTAAAATAGCTGCGGGAGATTTGTTGCCCATACAAGTCAGCCATTATCGATAAATCCAAGCAAAAGTGTCACAGGCTTCGCGTGAAACAAGAGCACATCCTAACAACAGAGAATGACCATGTTGATTCACTCCAACAAAGTTAATAAATGGGAGATCGTACTCATTGGTGAGACAGGTCGCATCAAAACATACAACATCTCCAAAATCTTCATACGCTATTATACTCCTAGCATCAACCAAAAGTACATCCTTCAAACGACCTTCTTCATCCAACCTATGAGCATGGAAAAATTTCAGATTGTCAGCCTGCATGTAGTCAAAAAACGCCATCATCGCTTTTGCATCTCCACCCGCCATCTTCGACCGTTTATCCTTATAAACCTCATGTTGCATATCCTTAACATTAGGCAAATTTCCATTCTCTGTGCTCATACATCCACGAATTTGACTAACCGGTACTCCAACCTCATAATAATTAAGCAATTTCTTACGAACTGACGGCGTCATCTTCTTCATACGATATTCTTTAACTAACTTAGCCAGAACGGGGTCCAAGGTATGAGTATGCTCCAACTCGACCGTTATTAAAACCCAAAGCCCTTCACGATTAACACCGCCATAAATCCTAGCTTTGCAATAACATTTTTTCGACTTCCTTCTGCCCCTAGCAAGCTCATCCTCCAAGATGTCACCATTCTCATTAGCAACACATCCGCCAATTTCCATTAACTTTGCCCTTTTCTTTGCCTCACGATTTGCCCTCATATTTAGGGCACCCCAACATTCACACTTCTAAGTCATTCCCCTTCTCTTTTTCTTAATCGTGAATGCACTTTGAACCCTGCTAACTCCAAAGCCACATTGCTCTGCGTATGATTTATAATATTCCTCTATTTCTTGCCAGCCATTGAACACCATTCCAACTTTTGGAGGTTCGATAGAGGTCATCATAGACACCTTGTTTGTGGAAACAGTTTCAGGGGTCTTTATGGTCTGAATTGGCCCAATTGGGGAAGAGGTCTCCCCCATTGGTGTAAGGGAAATGTTGTCCAGCTTGTCTGTATTAGGGCCTATTTCAATTAATGCCCCTATCTCATCACACCCCCCTAATTCATCCTCAGCTGCCAGCAACTCATCCATCTCTGACCTTCTTCCTAAATTACTACTAACACCACAGGTCACTGTAAAGACACCAGTAGAAATCCAGCCAACAACAGCCAAAACAGTAGAAATCCAGCCAACAAGAACAGGAAGATCAGACCAGTAGAAATCCAAAAACAAGATTAGGTCATACACACATCTAGTCAATCAAAACCACTATATAATTAAACAAGTTCGCAATCAAAATTCAAAGGAAAATTTAGAAAACCTGTATTTATTTAATGTGATTTTCAAACACAAAAAAAGACTATCAGAACACTCCCTAACTCCAACACACTATATAACAACAATGTGGCCAGATTATGATATTCTTTAAGGTAATTAAAAAGATATATAACAACATGAACACCAATTTCACCAGATTATAGAAACAATTTCACCAATTTACACACTTCATACACAAATCAAGCAGTCAATAAGGTACATAACACCGATTAAACCTACATTAACACCAATTTCACCAAATTACAACATCAATTTCACCAATTTATACACAAATCAAGCTCAAAACAAGCAAATTGCAAGTAACTGAAATGAAACAATTAAAAGCTTAGTATATTTTGACCTAACCTTCGAAGCAACCATTTACAACAGCTGGAGATCCATGGCGATCTAAACCATGAAAAAAGTGAGGAAAAAGTGAGGAGGTGCGATTAGAGGGGGAGAAACAGTTGGGAAGACAGTGGAGAGAGAATAAAGAGGACGAGCAAAAGTTGGTGAGGGGGGAACTTGACGTCGTTAGTTCACCTCAAACCCCAACATTTACAAAATATAATAAAATAATAACAAATCTCATATGGCAAGTGAGATATCCGAAAACAAAAAATCACGGAGAGTAATTGGGCAGCCCTTTTTTTTTTTTTAAGTACATTAATTGGTTTCTCGCCTAATTCTAATACGAATAGCCTAATAAAAATATGAAGGGAGTTTAGCAACATAGCATAATATTATAAACACTTTATCTATACATGTAATCATGTAAGATAATTTGATTAAATTCTTTGTATTTGTATCTCCAATACTTTCATATACTTAGGGATGTCAATGGGGCAGGTCGAGTAGGAGACTCGCCCCTTCCCTGCCCCATTAGGGTGGAAATTGGTCCCGGTTTTGCGGGTGGTGGGGCGGGGATGGGGATAAAAACCATACCCGCCATGGGGCGGGATAGATTTTAGGTTGACCCGTCCCATCCCCACTTCATACCCGCTCCGCCCCACCCGCCCAACTTCGTACCCGCCCCATATCCATATATATTATGACATATAAATTATTACTATTTTAAATATAAATTAAGTAAAATAATATAGTAAAAGTATAATACTTTGTAATATACTTAAATTATAAACAAAAAAAAAGTGTAACTTAACAATGATTTTTTTTTTAATTATTATGATGTAATATAGTTGTATTTGGAAGGTGGGTATTAGGTGGGGATTAGGTGAAGGTGGATATCCAAGTAGAGGTGGATATCCAAGTGGAGGATGGGGCGTGGATGATTTCGGGATTGTACCCGTCGAGGCGGGGATAGGAATGAATTTTGGACTCGTCTCGGGGATGGGGGTGGGGATGAGAATGTTAGGTGGGGGATGGGAAAGCCAACATCCTCCTCGCCCCGCCCATTGACATCCCCTACATATAGTATCATAATTTAGGGAAAAAGTTGACTAAATATCAAAATGGGTTTATCAGTCTTGTCCATTAAGTGTAATAAACAATTTTAAATACTTATTTGATAAAAAAAAAAGTATAGATATTATACTAATTGATCATTGATTTTTAAAAAAATTATATGGTATAAGTGTATAATATGTAGATGTAGTTTCTAATATACTCATTTGTCTAACTAACTCTTTGTCTATATTTCATGTTCCATTTCATTATATACGCAATATAAGAAAATAATAAATATGTCATAGATGTACTTTGTCTATGTTATTTAGTAATACATTTTTTTTCTCTTTTATTGATTAAATTTAGTGAAATAACCGAGCATGGCACGTGACCTAATCTAGTTGTTCCTCCGTTTTTTAATACTTGCAACACTTTTCTAAAATAGAAATATTACAATACTTACAACACACTATAAGTGGAAAGCTATTTTTGGAAAAAAGATGTACTATTTCCCTTATTTAAAGCACATGACCCACTAAATTACACTATGAACAACCACTCACCTCATTTTATAGTGTACAATATCATGCGAACTCCACATTTCTTAATTATCGTGAAAAAGAATGTGTTGTAACTATTAAAATTCGGAGGAAGTATGTATAGATTTATGGTCAAATGATAAGGGTGTTATAATGAGAAGGATCAGAAGTGATCTGATCCGTTCAAATAAAAAAATCTAATAGCTCTCATTGCATGCTTCATTAATGGCATAAATGTAAATATCTATTTTTTTCTACTTCCTTTTTATTTTCCCCTCTTCGGTCCTTTCTCTTCTTATTTCTTCCATGTTCATCTCTCTTCCCCATTTTTTGAGCTCTTTGAGTTTAGACGCTCTAATAGTAACTGTTAAGGAGAATCAAGTAAAAGTGAAATTTATATATGCTTAATTTTAAAATTACATCTACATTATTATTGTAAAATTTGCGCACATTTCTTAACTGATATGTGCATATTTATTGCGTTGAATGTGCAATTTTTTAAAATAAATAGTGTATATTTCTGAAGATGTTCCAACTGATAAATCCTTAGTATTACTTATTAGGTTTACAAGTTACTCATGACGATAATTACTTTCTCATCATTTCTAATAAATAAAGGTTAGAACTTTGATAAGCTTCAATGGAAATGAGAAAGAAAGAGTGCATCACAACAAAGAGGAAAAACAATGAGAAAATGAAAGTAAAAAAAGTTCATGTGCATATTTTTTTAGTCAAACTTACATTTTTTTTTAGTTAAATGTGCATAATTTATAGGGGGGAAGAAAGAGAGTTACAAGAATGAAGATCAATCTTCAAAGAGAAATGTTGTGGAAAAAGTGAATATAAAACAAAATAATAAACGTGCATGATTGACCGGTAACCTGCTGAAACGGTATTTTTTTTAAAGGCCACGTGTCAGTACATTTTTTTTTTGAAACCAAGCTAGGAATTCATTAATTATAAATCAAAGAGTCCATCAACACGTAGGGAGCAACCTCTTGGAGACATACGGAACAATCCTAGCAAGAGCATGAGCGACAGAATTGCCATCACACTTAACATGAGACCACTTAACATGAGAAAAATTAGAGCAATTAAGAAGAATGTCATCTAGCACTTTATCAATATCTGCAGCAAACGTAGCTCCTTTAGACAAGCCATCCACTACCACCTTGCAGTCTGACTCGAGGATGATGCTCCTTAGGTGAAATCTTCTGCCCAGCTTGAGTGCAAATAGAATTGCTTTGGCTTCTGCCACTTTAGGAGTCCAAAAAGCACGAGCTCTTCGAGTTGCAGCGAAGATAATGTTTCCCTCGTGATCTCTTGCAGATACCCCAAGCCCAACCCACCCCTCCTCTGCTAAAGATGCATCAACGTTTAACTTGATTTTGTTCGAGGGAGGAGCAGACCAGTGATTCGGACTAGCAGGGGACTGAGTGAGAGCGGATTTATAAATGCAGGCAGCATACTTCCCTGCTCCTCAACATAACGCCACACTCTATTCACGAGTACATTATTTGGGGTAGATTTGTTGCTAAATACTTTCAAGTTTCTCTCCCCCCAAATACACCAAGCCAGGTAGAAGCCTCTCTGTTTAGTTTTTGCATCAAGCGTTTTCCAGCTCACCACCAAGTCACAAATCGAATCTACAACACTCCAATCAGTCATCTGTTCGCAACAGTAATCCACCCATTAATCTTTAACTCTTGGGCAAGCAACAAGAGCGTGATGAGCATTCTCACTATTGCACCGCAGACATAGGGTAACATCAATCATGTGCCTATGCTGGAGGAGAGCACAAGTAGGGAGTGTAGTGGTGCACAGGCGCCAAAGAAAATGCCTCACTTTGGGGGAGACATCGGCCTTCCAGATTTCTACCCAAGCTTGGTGGAATTTATCAAGTTCACACCCCTTGCCTAGGAGGTAAGCCGATTTCACATTGTAATCCCCATTTTCGAAAATGCCCAGCACAATTCATCATCAATATCACTCTCTCTAAGTGGAAGATCCAAAATACAATGTGCATCTCGCTCATCAAAGACCTCCTCAATAAGCTCCGTCTTCCATTCTCGCGTATCCTCATCAATTAACTCGCTCACCAAGGTTAAATTCGCAACCTCACTGCTTGTGACATACCTCCCGGCCTCATCAGCAACCCAAGGGTCGCACCATATATTAATTTTGTTTCCATTCCCCACATTCCAAAGAGTGCCCTCCTTAACAAGCACCTTTGCAGACCAGATACTTCTCCAAGAATAGGACCCCCCAAAGCCAAGAGAGGAGCCAAGAAAGTCACCATTGGGAAAGTACTTTGCTTTGAACACACGACCAAGGAGAGAAGTAGGAGCTTTTATCAACCACCACGCTTGCTTCCCAAGTAAAGCATCATTGAACACCGCCAAATCTCGAAACCCCATTCCTCCAAGACACTTCAAAGTACATAAAGAATCCCAACTTTTCCCGTGAATTTTCCTCTTTCCGTCTTTCGACCCCCACCAAAATCTAGCCATCGCTGAATGGATACGTTGAATAACCGAGCACGGAAGCTTATAAACCCCCATCAAGTAGGTGGGATAGCTTGAATGAGTGACTTGAGCAAAATTTCCTTCCCGACCCGTGAGAGAAATTTCTCCTTCCAACCCTGTAGTTTATTCCAAATTCTATCAAGCAATGCTTCAAAAATTGTTTTCTTTTACCTCCCCACAATGGTTGGGATACCAAGATATTTCTCATGCATGTCTATGATGTGTCTATTTTATATAGTATTTTACTCCCGTCCCTTGGTCGTAATTAGTAGTGTTTTTGGCTCTTTAGAGCCACTTTTATTACTAATTGGTGTTTTCTAGTGTTTTCGTAGATTTGGTTGACTTTTACATGGATTTATGTTTTTGGAGTATTTTCCCGAGATATTTTGGAGCAATCACGAACATTGGAGAAGCACGACCAGATTCTATAGCCCAGGGCCGGTTAGAGCCATCGAACCGGTGATTAAGGGCTCGGTATAGGTGATACCGGGGCATTTGGACCGAGTATTCAAGACCGGAAAAGGAAACCCTGATTGGCCCGAAGAATTGGAGCCCAATCGTAGTCCGAGGCTGGCGCCCGGAGGCGCGCCCGGCCGGACGGGAGAAGCTAAGGCTGGCGCCTGGTGACGCGCCCGGCCGGGTGCAAGATTAGTATTGAGGAAGCAAAAAAAGGCGCGCCCGATCGGGCGGTGCCTCGTCCGATCGAGCGCGTGTATTTATTAGGGGACGATTAGCGTCGTTTTAGTTTGTTTTAGTTTAGGATTTGTACGGAGTATAAATACTCCTCCGTAATACGATTTTACTATCTCTCTCTCTCTACACTCTCTCTTTCCTTTTACTCTTTCTTTACTATCTTAATTGTTTTCTTAGATTCTCTCTCTTAAACCTTTGTTCTTAATCTAATCTTAATTCTAGATTTATTTTGGTAACGATTTCTCTACTCTTAATCTTAGTTGTTGATTTCATTCCTTTAATCATGTCTTGCTTTATTGCTTTGATTATTTTAGTTTCTATTATGTGTGAGTAGTTTTATTTCTAGGGTTTATGGGGATCCATAAATAATATGAAGGGGTAATTTATTGTTGTTAATTATCAATGCTAGATTAATTTCCTATTGATTGATTTAATGCTCTGTGACTAGATTAGGCCTGATCTTTTA